CGGCCCCGGCGGCGGGGCTGTCACTCGGCGCAGAAGGCACGCAGGGCGCCAGGAAAAGGCCTTTTTTGACCTTGTTTTTTATTATTATTATTTGTATTTTAATATCGTTATTTATATGTATATGTATATGTATTTTTTGGTGAATGTACATGTGGTTGCACTCGGAAAAGCTGCGGGAAGCACCCCCCCCTTAAGCCGAAATTGCGTAGATAATTTTTAAAATAGTCTGCAACGTTTCGGGAGTGTTTTTATGTAACGTGCTTTCAAGATGCCGTGCTAGTCTGAGCCGTTAATAGTTTCTTCTCTTCTGATGTTAACGGTATTACCTGGAGTGTTGGCAGCCTTATGTCGGTCGCAAGCGCTTGGAATAATATTTGCCTTAAAAAAAAAAATCTTGACGGGAGCAGCTAGGTTGTGAGTTTGGGTATGGTGTTTGTCGATACACACCTAATAATCTTTGCTTTAAAAGATCTTATATTTGTTTACTGATGCGAAGGTATCTTCATGAAGTCCCTTTTTACCAGGTACTGCTTTTACCAAAATGTTCTCCTTTGCTAAAAAAAAGCTGGCAGTCTTTAACTGTTAAAGGACAATTAGACACCAGTATTTACGTTCATACACTGCTGCTATTATCCATCTCCAGAGGCCGTAAATACGCTCACACCTTGCACCTATTTTTAAAGGCCCCATGTGACAAAAAAGACCTTTCAGTTTTGGGTGTGCTTGGCATAACCGTACTAAGTTGTGTTTAAAAGATTGTCACACGTTTTTATTTGTGGTAACAGACCGTACGTGAGCCCACATGGCTTCTTTCTTAGCTGTCTTGATGCTTTGCAGAGAAGCACATTTGTACTGCTGCAGTTCCTATGGCTTTATCAATGCTATGAGAAAATGAACCTGATTAAATCTCTCACTGAACAGTGCTTTTAGTGTAAAGTGTATTTTATAGTTACAGAATCTTGTGAGTGAACAAGTCAGAAAGAATCCAGAGAGAGTCAAAGTTTAGCTCAGAAGTCTGAGTTTCCTGGATTTGAAGCTGGGAAAATCCCAGGCAAATGTGATCTGAAAGTCAATGTGATAAAGGCTGGTTGCAAAATGCAGTGGATAGAAGGGGGTTGTTCATTTTTTAATCAAGCTGTTTCATAGTTAGACTCATAGGAAACCATTTATCTAAAAGCACGTAAACTCAAAATTCCTTTTGTTAATTAAATAGTGTTTCATTTGTGATACTGTCTGTGGTTCTACTGTATTAGACAAAGTAAGATATTGTCATTTTCCTCAAGATCCTACTTTCTGGGTAGAAAACAGACAACACGTGAGAGAAGAGCAAGTAATACGTTCTGCGTGTGATTGTTGGAAATCTTGGGTTTCTTTTGAGGCAGATTTGTAAATACACAAACATGAGTAAGAGAATGAGTGTAGAGGAGGGCAGGAATATGGTTGAAGTAGAAGGATTGAAAGAAGAAGAAAGGAAGCCAGGCAGGCACATATTCACAAAGTGCTTCAAGTTCAAATGCCACCCCCCTCTTTCTTTTTTTTTGTGTGTGGTATAATTAAGACCCAGGAAATATTTTGGAGCACCTGCCACATCACTTTGAATTAACTTTACTATTCATGCATTCAGGAATACAGGAATATTTTAAGAAGTAACGTTTTTTTTTAAATTGACTAATTCGTAGGCTGTTTGTTTTCTTAGCCTACAACTGGTGTCCTGTACAAAGAGGATAACTACATCATCATGACTACTGTGGATAAAGAAAAATATAAATGTATACTTCCACTGATATCAAGTGGCAATGAGGTAAGTTTGGGTTGTTTTTCATAATTATAAGCTGTAGATAAGTCTCTACAACATCTTTTGTGTTGTGTTTTTTTCAAAATAAATACTCTTTTTTTCCTATAAAAGGAAAATCATCTACAGAGTGATTAACGTTTTCACAGTTTATAATAGATGCGTTCGTTTGGTATTAGATGCTAGCTCTATAAAAGCGTAGCTGCTCTGAACAGTCTTGAAGTCCTTATTTGGTAACAAATGGTTGCTGAGCTGTTCTACTGATTGATAGGTTTGTCAGTCGCTGTCATGAGTTTTACTTTTGGAACTTCAGCAAAAATCAACACTGATTGGAAAGTTCTTGTATTTTAAGTAGCATTGTCAAATTCAATGCCAGTAAACAGCTAAAAAGACTGTTACCACTGCTATCGTAATCACTGTATCTGAATGCCTCCCAGTGGTGCATTTGCTAGTGTTGCTACGACCTGTCGTAAAAGCTTCCTTCTCCCTCATCTTCTCCCCAGTTGGAAAACTGAATGTACAGTGCAGGGTTTGAATTGTAGAAAATACGAACATGTTTGTTTATACAGGAGAAGGTAGATTGAGGAGGTACGTCTTTCTCTGGAAATTGGTGAGGTTTATCATTGGTCTTCAGTCCCTGCAATGGTTCTTGTTTTCACACCGTGCAAAAGCTTGCGCAGACAAGCTGTACTCCTATGGCAGGGACCTCCGTTTGGACATAGCTGTCGTCCTTTAGGTGATTGACAGTACCGAGTACTTCAACATAGGTGAGAAATCTTTAGTTCTAAAGAACTTTGCAGTGCATATCTTTTCAATAGCATGCATATTTAGAGTAAAAAATAGGCAGCAATAGGCTTTCACAATATTATCTATGCCTTTTTGATCCGCGTTTTTTTTATTCAATAAAAGCTGTGTGACATTCCAGTTGTGCTGCACAAATACATCAATATTGACTAACAAATTAAAAGATGATTGATACACTTGTCCTGTTCATGCCACAAGCTGCCACTCTTGACATGAGCAAGTTGAGAGCTACTGCTCTTTTGCGATATGTGTATGCTTAAAACCACAGAATTTTTGTTTTGACTCTTTGATTTGTAACTTTTATTTGGCCCTTCTTACTGAACTAAACTATCTTTTTTTCTAATCACAACACAGTTCCTTCATGGCAGGAATTAATGAGTTTTTATGTCTTTAATTTTGCGATAAGGTTTTTTAATTGTTTCAAATGAGTATTTACTAACCAGACTGCCTTTAATTTTAATGTATTGGAATATCCCTTTATTCTAGGAAGAAGAGAAGGATTACAAAGGTCCTACTCCAGGAGAGTTGTTGGAGCCTCTTTTTAAGCAAAGTAGCTGCTCATACAGAGTATGTTATTTATGCACTGAAAACTTGCATGTTAATCAAAAGTTTACAACCCAGCCCATTTTAAGGTTCAAGGTTCAGTGTAGTTGTAAACTGTATGGATAAAGGTAGTTCAGGTAGTAATTCGATCCAAAATAAGTTCTCTACGTCTTGATGACAATATCTTAATATTACTGTAAAAAGTCTAAATAATTTAAGATCTCGGGATTTAAATAAACAGGATGACTATAGTAACAATATGTAAATGGGGATTTAAAACGTTTGCTTCCAGGAGTCAAGCCCTAATGTGTCACGGTCTGTAATGAAAGGCATTCCTCAACAAATACAATTCTAGGTAATTCTACAAGTTTTCCAGAGGTTGACCAAGTACCATCACAATTTAAAATTTCACTTCTTACGTTCTGAGAACAAACTTAATGCCAAACAAGCAGCATTGAGAAGCAGAGAAAGTGAAAATGGCCAGCTATCATACGAATCACAGAACCTTCATATCCCACAGAAGTCCTTGAGGAAGGGAGAGTGGGTCAAGCCCAACTGGTAAACACCCCTTATCTGCAGTAGAGACCAAAAATAGTCTGTGCTGAGTCACTACAGCTTAACCCCTGGTAACCCCCTGGTAAAGAGTGAATTAGTTCCAACACGCCTGTCTTCAGGGTTTTTTTGCTGTGTTATGTCTGTGCAGAAGTGAAGGAAACTGTCTTTTATGTTTATTTAGAACCTAGTCACAATCCTTAGGGAATGCTGAGACCATTTGCTGTGCTACTACTTGCGAGGGTGCTTTCATCTACCTGCTTGGGCCAGATTTTTTTTTTTTTACTGCAGAGGCCAAAAGTTTTGGGAAAAATGTCTCTTTCTGGTCATGTATCTAAACAGAAAATGCTTCCACCCCTCCCCCCCCACTCCTTTTTCTTAAAGATTGAATCTTACTGGACTTATGAAGTCTGCCATGGAAAACATATCCGTCAATATCATGAGGAGAAAGAAACTGGTCAGGTAGGTGTCTTACAATTTAATAGTCTCAGTCCCCTTTTTGCTGCTTAACTCCTCAAAAAGACTTGAAATCATATGCACTTGAAAACGTATGGAAAATGGTAACTGAAAAACTTTAACTTTTTTTTGATTGTAGAAAATAAACATCCAAGAATACTATCTTGGGAATATGATGATAAAGAACCCATTGTCAGAACCAGGTTTGTCTTAGTTTATTTTATTTTGTTGATGCTAATGATTTCTTTTGGTTTTAATTATTACATTCTGAGAAATGTGCTGGAACTTCTGTAGAAAGCTATTTCCAGTGTGAAAGGATAGTAGAATTCTGTGGATTACTCTTTCTTCCAAAATCTGTTGTTTTGAATTAATTCCTTTTCAGTGCCTTACATCACGTCCATCCTATCAGTTTTGCCATACTGTACAAAATACAACAGTTAATTAGGGTCAGGTAGAGAAAATACATAGTTTAAAAAATTGTACTGATATATGCCTGATCTGGCTGATGTAACGTAGCCTCTTGCCACATTCTTTTTGGGTGAGGGGAAGTGTCTTTCAAGCTGTAAGCTGGGCGCAGAGCATGTAGCATCTTGGGCTCTGCTGTTCTGTAATAAAACATAGTATACAAAACCAAACCAAACCTTTTACAGTTTTTGCAGATGGATTTGATCCTTGCAGTTGTTCTAAGTGTTTTTTAAGTGTTCTGACACAGATCTGCAAAAATATTGCAGTTCCCGAAGTGGAACTCGGGTGGAATTTAGGTAGCTGAGTCCCAAGCTAATTTTCTAAGCGCTTGCGTTTTTGCTAGCAAATTATTGTAGATGCCAAAAGTCCTGTGTTTGTACCTGCCAATATCTGCTTCCCTTATATAAGGCTGAGCTCTTTGGCACTACGTTTGTCCAGATAACTCTAAAAGTCCACAAACTAAGTGTCCATCATCAGATTCAATGGAAACAATAGAAATGTATCAGCATTGAGTAGTTCTTTACATTCTGGGCTAGTATGTAAAAAGTGGGCGCCACTATTTTCCTCCTCCTAAAAATGGTAACTTCAGTGCCTATGTCCTAGAAAGGATTGACAGCCATGAATCCAATGCTTTTGAATACCTGCAGCCTTCAACGAGGTATCTTAGTCCTGAAGAGAAACATGGTTTTAGAAACACTGCGGGTTTTTTGGCATTTCTTATTAGTGCAGTTCAGTGTGTGTTTGTGCTGTTATTAATCCTGTGCAGAGGTGTGTAATTTTCCCTAGATGCTGCTATACAGAAAACAGATGTCTAATTTGAGTTTATGAATTCTTTTCTTGAGGTTAGATGCTAGTAAGTTGCACGTGGTGATACTTCAGATCATCATATCTGAGATTTTCAGGATGTTGGCCCTCTGTCCTCTCTGCTTGGGTGGCAGATTTTATTCTTTCTGTGCTTCCTATACAGCAATTCATACTACTTCTCTTAAAATAGACTGTGAGATGAATCCACAAATGTATTACAGTAAGCTTGGAATAACTGAACAGGTGACAGCAAAGCAGAGTTGCCTTTCTCTCATATAATCCTGAACGGAGTCCAGACTCCTGAAGCAGTTCAGAATGCTAAGGATAGCTTTAACCTGCGCCAGCTTGTAGCTCCCCTTGTACTGATGCTTACTGTCATGGTCATTAGTATGCCGTACACTCTGGCCTAACTTCTTTCTCCAACCAGTATATCTGCTGAGACTAGTGGGTGGGCTGAAGTCCTTGCCTACTATTTATTGTCCCAGCCTGTAATTCACTCACTTTTGAAAGGAATAGTCAGCTGGCCCTCAGAGAACAGCAGCAAGGACATGTTATTCTAGCCTACATGACCTTATTGTTGTGCTAGGGCTGGATTTGGCCTATCTGACAAACTTGTAAAATTGTTCCAAGAAGATGCTAACTCATATTTTGTTCTGTTTGCTCTGGATCCCAGATCACTGGGGTTTTTTTCCCCTTTCTTTCCTCTTTTGCACCTGCAAGTTGGTGAAATTGACTCTGACAGTTTATACGCAAAATACTAGCAAATACACAAAACATAAACTTCTTTTTGTATATAATTTCATTTTATTTCAAGTTCACAGACGTTATGCTTACCTCATTCTTAATTATTCCCTAGATCAAGAAGAAAAGGAAAATCCAAAAGAGAGTGCAAAAGAGGCAAGTGAAAAACATCTATTTTAATTTTTGCCATCAATAGTGGAGGCAATTTAAATATGATGAGATTATATAATTAGTGCCCTACTAAAATAAGTATCAATAAATGAAACTGCTTTCCTGAGCTGCACTCTTCTCACTTTTGATTATCAGTCCCATCTCACAAAGCTTATTTGGTCCGTTTCTTCAAGTTTCTTGCCCTTCCAGTTACTGGACGTTAAAGTTACTCAAATCTTAAAAGAAAGATGAATTACTCTTCTGCTATGAAGACAATGTGTACACAAACACAAGGTCACATTATAGCCTAGCGGCGTTTTTATAGCTACACCAGAGATTCCTATTCCTGTAGTGGTAGCTCCGTGCATTTTGGATAAGAAGAAATGCTTAACAAACTCTTACAGCACTAATGTTGCTAAATCCCTAGCAGATCTCTCACCTGACTTGATGACCCATCCCATAAAACTCAGTGCTTCCCTTTTTCATTAGAGAACTTTTCCATTTGATTAGGCCCCAAAACTCAATTCTGAGTTACCTTACTTTATAGCGAAACAACATAAATATCTGAAGCATGTTGGAGTTCAGAATTAGCAATAGCAAATCTGACCTGTGGAAAGACATGCACCTACCTTATTTCCAGTTATCCTTCCTGTTAATTTACCAAAATCAGATTTGGTCTGCGTGTTCTTTGTGGTACCAATTTACATAGCAGAGAGTGGTTCCTCTTTTGCAGTGGATCTCAGAAAATAGATGTTCTTGGTATGCATTACGGAGGTAGTTGGGGAAGCAGGCCCGATCAGAACGTGGCCCATTCCAGTAACTACAGCAGTTATGCCTCTTTGAAGTTGAGGAAAGTTGAAGTTGAAGAAAACTTGGTTCATTTTAGCCCATTTTTTTAATTCATTTCAGAATAAGTTAAACCTTTTGCTAACTTTTTCAGTAGTATTTATGATGTACGTAGACTGACTGGCTTCAGTCAACAAAGAATTTAGATGTGCAATTTTAGTGGAATCTGTAGTCATGAAAGGGAGAGGGCAGACAACACAGAAAGGAGGTGCTTAAAGTAACCACAAAGAACTGCTGAGGCTGAGGTTTTATCTTAAATCCTGTGTAGGTGCCTTTCAGTTGGGTGCAGACAACAGCTGTCTCCCTTTGGGTGTCTTGCACAGTGACCTGCAATGAGATGCTTAGGCACGCACAATCTTTCAGTATTTAAGGAAAGATCGGTTGTTTCCTTCAACCAGGAAGGGAAGGTATCGTACCCCTTTTACAAGCTATTTTGTACACAATCAGAATGTACGTTCAGTTCCCAGCTTTGGCTGAATATTCCAGTATAGAGTGGAGGAGTGACTGAAAGCAAAGTGGTGCCTAAGCAATTAAACTACTGTCATATTCATTCTTTTGCCTCATGAATATCGTATCGCTTCGTTCATTCATGATGGAACAGTTTCACTAGCAAAGAGTCAGTGGCCTATGGCAGGATTACCATGTGCTTTCATAACTGAAGCAGGTGAGATATAAAAGGATCCCAAGTCGCTTGGGTTAGTTCCATGACCATGGAAGGCACCACCACCATTTAGCACAGAGCCTGATTTGTTGTGCACTGAGAATATTTACTAGCCCAAACAACATAGGTAAAGAAAGGTCTGTTTCATGGATTCCAACATGGCTTTTGCGTGAGCAGAACGTTGGTACCCAGGAACTTTAGCTGCATTCAAGATCGGAACCAGGAGAGGGGGCTTAGGTCAGTTTGAGGAATGAATCTCCCGTTAAGTGGAAGTTGGACAAAACTTGAACACATAAGTCCATTTATGACTCTAGTGCCCTTAAAATTCTGTCTAGTCAAAAATTAAATGACATATGATTATGCACGACTAATTATTGGTGTTCAGGAGCTATTAAACAAGAGTTGCTAAGTTTCTGTTGGAAAAGCGTTTTTAAATACAGAGGAACAAATCTGAAGAGATCTTATTTAAAGTGCGTACAAAATGGAGGAAAGGGGACTTAAGATTTTGACCTGGGCTTTGTAAAGTACCTTTATTTTAAAAGGCTTTCTAAAGTATTTTAGATGAACGTTTCAAACCTTATAAAGTGGGATTTACTTTGCATGTATCGTTAACTTTCTGTTCGACAAGGTAACAGATGGCTGGGATACTCTGGATAAGGGAAAACCAAGACTATATATGTTAAGGGGTGTAGTGCAGATATCCGGATGGCTTTGCATGACGCCAGTGTAGATTCTTCATGGTCTGGGACCACGCTGAAGGTAATGTGCTTGGGCAGACCTAAGCTGAGTCTGGCAGAGCTGCTCACGTGTCTCTGTCTCCTAGGCTACAGGATGTATGTAGCTGGGCTTGGTGCTCTGACAAAACATTGCACCCGACTGGTAAGATTTCTTAGAACTGAAACATCAGGCAACCTGTGCAGAGATTCCAGCGGCTTTTGCAATCAGATGTGGCTGGGCTTTGTAGCAAAGCTCAAGTGGCTTGGTGCATTTGTGCAGCGCTGTCCTGGAGGTAATAAACCAGAAGCTGTTTGGTTGCAGCAACACCTCCGTTTCAGAAAAGGCAAGGAGCCTTACTGTGATTCTTAACTTTTACTTTCTTTCACCTAGATACCTTCCAAAAATATAGAAGGGCAGATGACCCCATACTATCCAGTAGAAATGGGAAACGGCACACCTTGCAGCTTGAGACAAAACCTACCCAGATCAAGTACAGTGATGTACATCTGTCATCCAGAAGCTAAACATGAGATTCTTTCAGTAGCAGAAGTTACAACTTGTGAATATGAAGTGGTTATATTGACACCTCTGTTGTGCAGCCATCCTAAATACAGGTACGGTACCCAAATTTTGGCTAACATTATGACTCCAAATTTTCATCAACTTCCATGCATGCATGTGTTTATACAAGTCTTATGTCCAGCGATGGTTTCTTATACAAAAATGTCTAGACATTTCCTGTGATACTTGCATGTTACTTAGGTAACATGGCAGGTGCAGTTTTGCCAGCTCTTGCGGTTTTCATTTTAAGTTGCACAATATTTGCATTTCATAAGTCTCTGTTGATTGATCCCATATGAGAAGCACAAGTATTGTTTTATTTTCAAAAGGTAAGTTTCTAACCTTTGTGATTCCAGAGGAACGCAAAGCAGAGCCTGAAGGCTGAGAAAGCCGCAGACAAATAAAGAACACGGTCTCTTATGTGTCTTATGATTTCAAGCTCTTAGGGATCTTCTTGGTATTCAAAGACTGCAAATTGCACACGTGCAATATAAGTATGCATAGATTTCAACTTCTCTATTGAATTTCAGAAAACAAAAGTACGGTCTTCAATCATAACCTTACTAGTATTTATTTTAGCAGTACTCCCAACTTAAGGAGCTCCCATCTGTCCCTATCTTGCCTCGCTGCCTTACCTTCGGCTGCGTATAAAGTCATTTCCATATAAAGAATTTATGATTTCAGTGTTATTTTCCAAAAATCAAGTTTGGGATTCTTTCTTCCCTTGTCTGAATTGTAGTGTGCGTCTAAGTGACGTTCGTCTCAACAGTAGAGATTTTTGACCTTTCAAGGGGCGTTAAAAGAATAGTGAAGGACGCGCAGGACATACAACTGAAACGGAAAAATTACAAACAGGAGTTCTGAATAGCCCATACACACAGACCTCAGAGCAATCGAATATTTAATCTAAGTGTTCTGAAATAGGCAGCAAAGCGTGTAAGATAAAATCCTTGATCATGCATTTTATAAATGCTTGGCAGTTAGGGTAAATAAGTGAAGCTATTACTAAGTATTTATAAGTATATTACTAAGTATATTACTAAGTACCAGTTATCACTTTTCTCATGTAAATAGATGTATTAGTACTATGTTATCTGTTGCACTTATTTATTGCACTGTTATTTGTATATTGTGTCTTTTAAGCCTCTGTGTGCTTACAGAGGGAAGAAGGTAGACAGGCAAATTTTTTATTTATTTATTTAATAAAAAGGTGATCTTGAGTTTTTCTCTTTTGAGAAAGACTAGTTAGACTGCGTTGACCGGTTGTCTGCCAGCATTAATAGTGAGACTGCACTGGGCAAAAAAGTATTTGCATCAGTTGTAATTATTATGACAACAGCATAGTCTTGACTAAGATGGTGCAAGTACAAGCGAAAATAGACACAACTCAGCCCAATGGAAATGTGTAATAACTAATAAAAAATCAGGTCTTTACTCCAAAATGTAAGTTTTTAGCAGAGGTCTCTGAGCCACTGAACAGGACTGAGAGTGTGTTGGCATACCTGTGTGTACAGCGATAATAAATTTGAAAGACTTTAAGTGATGTATCCATATCTTGTTTGGACAGGTTCAGGGCTTCCCCTGTGAATGACATCTTTTGCCAATCACTACCAGGATCCCCACTTAAACCCCATAACCTGGAACAGCTGGAGAAACAGCAAGAAATGATGAAGATGCCTTTTAGAAGGGTTAAGGAGGTAGGATTGCTGTAGTTTTAAATAGGAAAGTAATTTTAAATAGTACTTATTTTCCATGTTGTAACACATATAACTTTGGTCTCAGTGGAATTAGTTCTTTTCCGCAACTGTTTCTTTATAAGACCATGTCAGTCTTTCAAATGGTCTTTAGTAAGTTTATTGAAATCATCTGTAACTTATTTGGAAGGAAAATAAAGCAGTTCAGTTTGGGCTACTAGTTTAAAACTTGTAGCCTCCTCAGCCTACAGTTTACTAAGTCACTAGTTTCTTGACCTTCCATCTCTTTTTCCAACTACGCTGAAGACGGTGAAAAAATGCCTTCATAGTTTTTCCCACAACCTGCCACTTTAATATTAGATAACTTCTTATAGATCATAAGATTTAGCAAGGGACATATAAACTCTAAATGGGCATATTTATGTATACTTTAATTTCAGGAAGAAATGCATTCAACAAAAGAAGATAAATTTTCTTCCATACACAAGCCAGTTGCTGTTGGAAGCCATCAGCTGTTAACTGTGGGAACAACCCATATCTCCAAATTGACTGATGACCAACTTATAAAGGAGTTTCTTAGTGGTTCCTACTGCTTCCATGGGGTGAGAAATAAAACTGCGTACCATAAAATAGCCTATTCTTACTTGCACTTACTGTTTTATATATTTTTAATTTTTCATGAACTCTGAGAGTTGAAATTTTTCCCTCAGCAGATACCTACTTTGTTCCTTATAACAAAAGGGGTACTTTTCCTTTCAAAAATTTGCTAGTAGCTTTAGCTGTAAGTAAAAATATTCTTTCAATCTAAGTTCAAGACCTCCCTTTGTCCAGTCATTGTCCTGGATACTACACTGTTTACACGGCTGCTTCCAAACTAGTATCTCTGTCAGTGTTGCATTGTGCTGTGCTAACAACTTATTGGAGCCAGCTCTGGTCTCTGTAGGGTATGCATTTGTGCTTTTGTCCCCTTTCCCCACTAAATACTATCGTTCTGCTGTGTATGTGAGGGAAAAGAATATGTTTGGGCATAAACCTATGACTTTCACTGTGGTACGCAGCATGGAAAGTTGAAGCTTAGTATTTGCGAATGATGTTTCTCTGACTTTCAAATACCTCATAGTTAATTCTTGCCTGGCTCTGCTGGGCAAAATACAAAGCTGAAGTAAAAGTACAGTTCTTCTAGTGTTTCAACCTAAGACGGGAGCTTTCATTGCACAAGCCATGCCAGCTTACAGGTTTTAACAGCATTATTATACACATAATAATTGCCTTTCCTTACATCGATATAGGGACGACTTACATACAAACTTGTCAGTTTATGCTATTAAATTTACTGAAAGGTATCTTTACTCTTTCTATTGAAATACAACTTACTTGAACGGACAATGAAATGAAAGTAGAAGATAATGAGAATTGTTCTGTACTAATTTTGTTAACAAGAAGAAAAAAATCTGAGGAAACTTGGGCATTAAGAGAGGAAGCAGTTAGGACAAAGCATTAAAAAGGAAGATTTACCTAGGGAGACTGAGAGAACAGCCAGCAGAGAAAAGTAGTCTGAAGTTTTCTCTGTCCTTGAAAGAACAAAACATTTTTTTTAAAAAGATCATCTGGGGGGATACCAATAGCTTTTAAAGAATATCGTCATATGTGGGTCTTCCGAGAGCAAACTGTCTGCATAAAAATTAGGTTCTCTTTGCTTAAGCTCATCTATTCCATCTCTTACCTATATCAGTTAGTCTAATACGAGATTCTCCTTCAGTGCAATCCTTGAATCAGGTATCTGACCAATAGGTATGCAGTTTTCAGCTACGATACTCAGTGATTTAGAGTCAGGAGGAAAATTGGATGTGTCTGAGTGTTTCAGGGGGTTGGTGTTTGGCTTTTGTTTTGATTTGTGTTTTCTACTAACTGAAATTATTCCTCTCTTTAGGGTGTTGGTTGGTGGAAGTATGAATTCTGCTATGGCAAATACGTTCATCAATATCATGAGGTACGTTTAAACAGTTTTATATGCTGCCACTAGATGGCTACAACTTCTCTTACTGAAGGCAAAAACCTTTATGTGAGGATTCTTTTTAAATTGGAAGCAACAGAAATATGTTTGTCAAACCAAACCAAACCAAAAAAAAATTTTTTTAATTCTGTGTTCCTGCAAATTTGGATGTGCTGTTTGATAACTAACTTTCAACAAAAGTAAGGTTGCACTGTTTAAATAACAGCAAAGAAGTTCCTGGGCAAAGTTATGCTTCTGTAGTGTTAGCCAATGCGTTTTGTCGTCCACAAAATTATGCTTCTGTAGTGTTAGCCAATGTGTTTGGTCTTCCATGTGCAATCAGACTGAGACATTAAGTTCCCTAATTTGTCTTGGCACAGGTGCCTTTTTTAGGGACTAGAGGAAGTCCTTGAAACTCCTCTGTTTGCCTCAAAACACTTTGCTTTTCTGTGGCCAGATCAGGCACAGTGCAGAAAAGCCACATTCCCTTCATTCTTCTTGCACTGCATGGCATTCGGTTGTAAACAAAAGTTACAACTGTAACAACTGTAACCTTTTCGAAGTTATGCAAACCTGCAACAGATGCTTTGCTTCCTTAAGAAGACTAACTTTAAAATGATAAAATTGCTACCTGAGCAGATTCTTCCTTTTTTGTCCCTGACATATTTGCCAAAGCAGATATTGCATGCTGCCACAAGACCTTCAGCGATACCCTTCTATGTTTTGTTAAATAGCCTTCACAAATTCAGGCATTACTTGACAAGGCATGCAACTGTTTAACCTATTTTTCATATTTTGATAGAAGCTTATTCTCTTCTGCAGTAATAGTTGAATCTAGATGGCTTTTGGGGTCTCTACTATTTTGATAATGATCAGGCAATGTTTTTGGGTGGGGGGAAGGTTAGAGAATCTGTCCCCAAAAAAATTGAGAAAATAAACATCCTTTCCTGGGCTAATCCCTAAATCTTGGGTTTGAGAGGAGTGATTTAAGAGAAGAAATCCTCAGTGTGCTACTGAAGAGTTTATGCAGGGAGATGTCAGATAAAGCATAGTGATGATCAAAGCTGAAAAAACATTTTATGTTTTTGTGTGTGTGTGAATGCTCTTTTGCTCATCGAAAGACGTGCATCAGCTAACACAGCCAAGGTGGCTGTTCTGAAAAGACAGTCAATTTGAGGCTTGACCCGAGCGATACAAGATCACTCATACTTCGTCTCAAATGCAAGAACAAAGTATTATTGACAGCAGAAGACTTGCTCTAAAAATGACGTGCTACTTGTCATAAAACATCCTCACTGTTAAACTTGTGATACAAACTAATTATCAGCTTTTCCTTTCTTTTAGGATAAGGAAAGTGGCAAGACTTCTGTGGTTGTGGGAACCTGGAACAAGGAGGAACACATTGAATGGTCCAAGAAGAATGCTGCTAGAACCTACTATCTCAGAGAAGATGGTACGCAGACAGTTAGGTATGGTTACAGTCAGCATGGTTACTGTTGTGGTTAAACGTTCCTGAATTGGTCCCAGACTTGCCAGGAGGAGGAGGAAGAAGAAATACTGGGGCTCACTTCTGCAGTCTGTGAATATTCATTTTACTAATAGATAAAATAAACGATTCAAGAGAAGATTGTATAGATTTTTTTTCCCCCAATCAACATACAACATCACAAAAGATAATGGAACGCTTTGGATAATGATGCAAAGAAATCTTCCAACAATGAACAATGATTTGTTTCTGTAATAATTTAAATATAACATACTACGTTTTTGTTTTGTATATTGGAGTTAAGTATTTGGAGAATTATGAGATATTCTATTACACAAGTTAGCTGTGTGTTTAAGAATTTAATGTCTACTATTTCCAAGCTTTCTCATTTCAAATTTTTGTGGCAGGATGGTGTCTCATTTCTATGGCAACGGAGATGTGTGTGACTTAACAGACAAGCCAAGGCAGGTGACTGTGAAATTGAAGTAAGTTAATCTTTTATGTAAACCTATGTTTCGTCTCTCTGCTTTATATGTCAGAGGAGAAAGCCTCTTTCTATCTTCTTCATAAAGCTCCTAATGCAATAACTGTTACCTAAGCTTAATAAAAAATGCTATAGATACTAACAAAATACATAGTTTGGTTTTGCACTTATTCTATAGCAAATTGAAAAATTTCTCTTTTTCTCTTTTCAGATGTAAGGAATCTGATTCCCCTCATGCTGTAACCATATATATGTTAGAGCCTCATTCTTGCCAATACATTCTTGGGGTATGTAAACATACACACTTGAATTCACTAAGGTCAGGTGTCAACTAGTAGAGCATGTCTCAAGGTGCATGGTCCACATTACACGGAAAGCGTGTGATCACTTTTTACTTTAGCCTTTACTTGCATCAGCCAAAGAATAAAACCAAAATGTTTTACTTGACAAGAGGAAGAGATTTTTCTACTGAAGTGAGAGCCTTTATAACTGCCGTTTCTGGCAGGGATAGTAATGCAGTCTGCTCCTGACGAGGGAATAGAGGCCACAGATGAGGACATGGTGTTATTGCTAAATCTTACCAAGCTGCTGGTTCTCTAGTCCCTTCTGTGTTCCTTAGACATGTTATCTCTCTCATCCATTTTTTTTCAAATTTAAAATTGTCCCTTCTAGTGACTCTTCACAAAAGATTCTTGTCATACATTTTAGCCCTAGTACGTAGTTGCTAAACAAATACCGCTTTTTGTTCAATTGCATTTGCTTAGGGAAAGGAGGATTATTATTACTTACATTGTTAATATGCTATAGAGTCCGTACATGGAAGTAAAAAGCATGTATTAACAATTTTGCAAAGTGCTGCTCAAGTGCCCATTGCAATCTATTGCAACAGAGATTTACAAGAGATTAATTCCAATCAATTGTAAAAGTTTGTCGGTAATTTTAGTCTTTCACATTTTGATCTTTTATGTTCAAGGTGGAGTCTCCAGTCATCTGTAAAATTTTGGATACAGCAGATGAATACGGACTCCTTTCAGTGCCCAGCTAAAGAACAATAAAGTCCGTGAAGAAAGCCATACCTGTCAACAACCCAACTGGCATTTTCCATGTTAACATCGTTTCTGCAAGATGACAAAGGCAAACCGAAGTCTTCAGCCTCACCAGCAGAATTCTATAAGATGGGGGACTCATGAACCACTTTGTGTATAACTATGTGTATATAAGAGGTTATCGATAAACTTTTAACAATTAAAATCTTGTCTTGCACTTCCTGTTTGACTTGTGTATGAGAAGTTCTGAAATCGTCATGACCAAGGTATAAATTATCACTCTAAAAAGGCAAATAAACAAAGCCCAGCTTCAAGAGAGGAGTTCAACTGCCAACAGTTAGAATGGAAAACACTTCCTGCT